TATAAAATGTACGTAAATATTTACACATGTATGTATGTACACTGGCGGTCATTAAAATATACTCAATTGGATACAAAATACCGTTGATTTTTAAGTTGTTTTTTTTTTGCTGACGGTGTCACGTATTTTTTCCCATACAAAGTGTGCTCGACAATTTTTTTATATGGAAAAGAATGCCTAGCATCGTCAACAAAAAAAGTGTCAAAAATCAACGGTATTTTCTAGCCACTTGAAACTTGCACTTTCTTACCCTAAAATTTAATGGCTACAAAACTGCCCATTCTGAATAAAAATTTCAAAAATTTCTTGAAAATTTGTCGAACTTTTATACTTTTTGAATAAAGTTTGAAAAGGGGATTTATATAGTGTTTGTTGTATAGCTAGCCCGGCTTTTATAAAAAAATATTAAACACAAAATTAACAATTTAAATATGTATAGCCAAAACTCTTCAAAGTAAGGCGAGTCTATTCTAATGACCGCCAGTGTATGTATGCATGCATATATAAATACCAAGCATAAATATTTCACTATTGACTCAAAGCTGGCAAACATGAATGAAAATGCTGTGTGCCAGCGAATGCTGAATGCTGGCAATTGTTGTTGTGCACTAATTAAAAATCGTTAGCAAGACTTCATTTGCATAAATTGGCACACAATAACGTAAAGCATGAAGTGATAGAGTTGGAAGAGCAGCAGCCAATGGCTTAAAGCCATGAACAACGAAGTCAGAGTAGCTTCTGGATTTTAGAGCATGTAAATAGCGGTTTCATGATGGCGATTTGTGCGAAAAAAAATGTACCTAAAAGCTCCGCCGGAAAATTCGGAGTGAGTATGCTATCAGTATATGACGCACAAAATGGGCTATTTATTTTTGTGTTCTTATCACGTTGTTTGTGTGCACGTTTATTTGGTGGTAGTACATATGTAAGTAGAAGCAGCATGCAATGGCTATAATGAAAGTATATAGTAAATATTTCATGGGTGCATGAACTTGACTTTCAGACAATTTCACTGTACGTACTCTGCGCCATTTAGGCTGTTAGAGCAGCGCTCAAAATCTGTTTTTTTTTTGTAAATGACATTTTTGTCTGCAATGCTTTTTTATACTGGCATACTCATTGCTTTACTAGCGCCAAGTTCAACGAATTTTTGGCACAAATGCAACGCATTTAAATGCATACAAACATATCTACATACTCGTACATAAATTTACACAAGGCAAACACAAATAAGATTTGCCATGTACTTAGAAATATAAAAAACAATAAAAGACGCCATCAAGTGCAGACAATTGTCGCGAATTTGCTGTACATTGCTCTCAAAATTCGTTCTCCGCCTGACTGGCATGAGGATTAGCAAATTAGGCGGCAATTATCTGGAGTGTCGGTGTTGACGCAGTTATAGGGACAAAGCAAAACATAAACAAACTAATAAACGTAAGTATGTTTGATAATTGTACTCCCAAAATAATTTATTTGTCTAATTTGAATGACTTTTTTATCAGTTAAGTGATAAAGAACAAAGAATAAGAAGCGTATTGCATTTAGAAAAGACCGTAGACGTATGTGGATATGTATGTATGAACTTAAAATTAGAACTTTTGAAGTACGCATTGCATTATTTAAATTGTTGATCGCATGACAAACGCTGAGAAAAAAGTATTGCAGCACAAAAAACCTGCAAGAGTAGAGACAAGTTTTGCAAGAAAATTTTGTGGATATAAACAATATACCTACATATGTATGTACATATATAGTATATACGAACATAATACTAAAGATTACAATTATATTATCGAAACAAATAGTAGCTACATACAAATGTAGTTGTTTTCAGCCAAGAACATTTAGCACATAACTCCCAAAGAAAAATGAATGTCAACTACTTATAGCAATCATTGGACTCAAGTCACTTGGAACACCGCAACAGGCGACTTTATCTGCCGACAACCCTAACGGCCTTGTCCCTGTGGACCAACCCCCGCAGAAGCTGCACCCTTCCTAGGGCTGCCGTTAGTGGAACTTGACGACAACGACTGAGATACCAACCGGCCTGGGCGGGGTTGTTGTAGCCGCTACAAAAACAACAACAACTTTATCTGCCTTGATCGGAGCCCAATCACCACCTGTGCCAAGACAGGTTACGATCTAGTTACTGTACCCGTCTCAACAGCTACCTGTGCAGACTCGACCCCAATATTCCCAATGATGCCGAACGCATGTAGAGGCTTCTCGCTTTGTGCTTCTGCGCCCCCTTTGCAAGAATTTGGTATGAGACATTTAGCCGCGAGCGTTTTTTTAGGCTGGTTCCGACAAAAAAAAGTGGTTGAGGAGCATGGACGTAGAAATTGACTTTTAATAAAACTAGTTCTGGCAAGTCAAGAAAACATGTGCACGCTTTAAATCTTTAAGAAAAGATTGCATGGACAAAATATGTATTCAGCGTGCTGTAGCAAGATTTTTTGTAGCCAGTACTCTGAAAATAAGAAAAAACGTGGACGAATACTTTTCTAAGTCACAACAAAAACGACGAAAAAAGCTGCATGTGAACATATTCAAAAAAATTGCTTACTTTCAATAAGAAAGCTGTGAAAGAGTCTTAAATTAATAAGAAAAAAAGAATTCTTTATTTTATAAAAATTCCACAACATAAACCCCAAAAATCAGAGTTCGGATAACCTTGTGCAAAATCGAAGAAAATTCCGCAAATTTTCATTAAAATATTGCACTTTTTAATTAGACTCTTTAGAAAAAAATTTAGTATGCATTTTTTAGCCCATTTAATTTTAGTATAATAAAGTGCCAGTCTGAGGAAGCTAGGACTTACCATTGATTTTTGACAGTTTTGCAAAAAAAAATCGCTGTGCATAAACTTTATTGACTGACTGTATGTATGTATTTATGTACATATGTGTGTGTATATCCATAATCTTTTCGACGTAGTAAAAATATATCGTATCAACCATGAGGAATAACGGCCGGACGCATTTATGCAATGACGCATAACTAAATTACTTATCAGGCCAAGGTATGGCTTAAATGCTCAGGCAAGTAAATTGATAAGCGCAAAAATAATAAAAACATAACTATGTATGTATATGAAAATATAAATATGTACTTAGTTCTCCAGCGAATTTTGTTTGGCACAACAAACTACTATTTTAAACTACATATATATTACACAAATTAGTGAGAAATTGATAAGCCATGTGAATTCAGGCAAACATAAGTATTTTATGATGACTGATAAGGAATGCATGTATTCACCGTATAGCGCACATGTGAGACGATGAATGGACTTGAGCAATAAATATGAAAATAAAACCGAAATATCGAGAAAAAAAATATTTCTACATATGCATCATAGGTATGTTCAGGGCTGTCGAGAGAAAACTCGGGCCCCTATACATAAATTGTACTAATTCAAAATCATGTGATCATTTTCTTTAATGCATAAAGTTCGAAACAATTAGCACGAATCGGAATATGTTTATAATAAAAGCCTATAACGAACGAGCTATTATATTGAAACAAAATAAATAATAAAAAGTTATGGTTGTGATAATTCAAGCCCATTAAAAACCCCGGCCCGGGCCCGGGGATTCACCCCTTTCGCAGCCTCCCCCGCTCCCTCTTGTTGTATATAAGTACGTGGGGAAAAACTCGCTTGTGGTCTAAATATATTGCGAAATATTGCGTTTTCCTTAAAATACAGAGACCGCTGTATTATATTGTTTTTAATTTTAATGTTAGAAGAGCTTAAATGAATTTCACTTAGTACATAATTATTAAATAACAGTTCATAATTATTGCAAAAAATTGTTTTTAGTGTAGCATATTGGCAGGCTATGAGTATTGCAATCGACAAAGCAAAGCAATAGTTATCTACACATACATTCATAGTTTGCGGAAAAAATAGCGCTATGGATGGCAAGCTCAGCGTATTTTCTTGCATGAGTGATGACTGCGATGCGTACATATAAAACAAAAACCTGAATTGGGCAAGGCTTAGGAAAATGTATGCGCCTTGGTGACTATTGTGTAAGCTATTTCACAAATACACATATTTTTCGAATTTTGGAGAAATAGAATACATAATCGGGCGATTCTTAAAGCGATTCATTGTTAAGAACAGATTTCACTAATAGCAAAAGAAAAACTAATTTCATAAAAGTGAGTAGGCGACTCCATTGAACAAGTATGCCATCAATAGTCAAGCCTGTACTGTGTAGTCCAAGCAACATAAGCAAACATGTACATATAAGATCCACGCAAACGAAATATTTTGTTTTATAGCAAATTTATGAAGGCGAAAGGCAAAATCAAAGCAAAATAGATAAATAACAGCTTCCGGCTGACGGCAACAGCACAAAACATGAGCATAAATTTAATGAACAGAGAGGCAGTGCGTCAACTGACTGCACATCAGAGCGCTCAAAGAAGCTTACGTATATTACAAATGAAATCGTAGATGTGGCAGATTAGTTAGTTAAAGGCAAACAACTTAGTAATAGTAATACAAGTTGAGGTAAAGCTATTCTACAGCAACGTTATTAGAATACTAAACTGTGTTTAAGATGTACTGACTGCTACATATGTAGGTATGTGTACTGGTTATGCTGTGCTCTATTAAATTGGTTAATAAACTCAATAATGATGAGAGAAAATGAAGAAAGAACAAAAGAAATTCGGGTGGAAGAATAGTAACAATACAGGAGCTACAACGAAAATTTGATTTTAATTAGCGGTATGAGCTAGAAAACAAAGAAATACCTACAAAAGGTCACTTAAAATAGAAAATAGCAAGGAAAGAAACAACAAACATACACAACTAATAGATACTTTAAAGAACTTAAAATATAGCTACACAACACACGGGTATTGATAGCATTTCCAAAGTGCTCAATTACATTTGCCAATAAAATTAGCAATACATATGGATACTCCGTGTGAGAGTGTTAAAGAAAAAAGTTCATTATCAATGGAAACATTGGGCTCACCTGAGCCTTAATGAAATCGTCGGTAAAACCTTGCTTGCCGATTTTACTTTTTATGAACACTTAAGTTATTGCAATTGTAAATGTTGGCTGCCGTTTCTATGTTTGTTCCTATCTTAGCTATGGATGTCACGAGACACCCGTCTGATTGGCGTACTGCCTACTAGCCGAATGGCTTCTATGGCACTGTTTTCTTGCTAATGTTGTTTTTGCTGGGCGTATATTGGTGATGATGACAAGCAAAACCACTCACGGGGGAGTTCGTTCAGCACACAAAAACCACACACAACTGGAACTGCAGTTATGGTATATAGCACTCGAGCTAACTAGGCCACGGAGTCCCGCGTACTGTAATGCAGTGTTGGTGCTGTTGATCAAATGCACTTAGGCTGTTAAAATCGACTAATTTCTAAGTTTTCAAATGCTGGTTGTTTGCCCGTTCTCCTAGTGCACTTTTTACGATGTACTTTCTTACGGCTACTGCAATATTCACCTTTTTGCAGTTTTGTTTTCACTTTTCTCACTAGTACTTTCGCCCAATATAATTTAATTTGAGTTTAAAACCAATTTGTTGATAACTAATATAAGTACGAGTTAAATTTGCACTAAATAACACCATCCACAAATTATGGCGAGCAGTAGTGGATGAATGAATACGTCGTCTTCCGTTTATGACCAGTTGGAATTTCAGAATGGGGAATGGAATAAGCGCAAAGCGCAATACGATGACAACTGATGACGTTTTTGGTTTCTTTCACTCTTCTATGATTCGGCCTTTTTTGCTGCTGAATTGCAGCGGCAGTTGTTGTTTTGCTTGCGCTTATATTTCCTTCCAATCCAATTTTTATTTTCATATATGCAATTGCACTTCCCAAGTATTTTCTTGATTAGTATTGAATAATAAATATTTAACCGAATCTCACAATTCCCCAATACCAAAATTATAACAAAGAAAGTATAGAAAGTTTCAGCAATTTATCTTTGTCTATTGTTCACCTTTGCCTTCTCCGTTTCTTGCTTATAATTTTTCAGCTACCAAATAATTCCTTATCCTAAACAAACACAATCATTTAACAATTTTTGAGTGTAGAATCAATTATTAAAAACCTCGATACTTTTAAATAAAAAAAATTCACAGCTTTTCCAATAAAAATGTGCAACAAAAACCAGATCACTTGACGCAAATTTTGCAATTTTAAGAATCACTGAAAAAGCAAAGGCAGGGTTGTATTTTAAGGCTACCACCCCGTATCAGATAATTAGAAAAGTAAGAAAATTTCCCAGTTGAACTTTTTTCCTATAAAGTTTAAAATGCGGCTTTCTATGACACAGATTCAAGCAAATAGGTTTTGGTTGATAAACCCAAATTTAGTTCAGCATTCAAGACACGATTTGAGATGTTTTTCTTAATATTGTTCGCAAATAGAAAGGAAATAATTTTTTGCGGTGTGGCTGCACTATTCATTTTGCTGCGACATCTACAGTACAATAGCAACATTACTCTTCTTTCTCTTCCATTACAGGGTGCAATTAATTAGTAATTTTTGTTCATTCCGTATTTTTTTTCATGATGCATTTACGATTATTTTTTTTTTTGCAGTTTGCTTTTAATCAATTGTCAGTTTTACTTTAATTAATTTTAATTTTTTTTTGAGTACGGAGTTTTATTTATATACCCTTTAGCCTATTTAGGGGAAAAATGACATGAACTTCGAAATTAAATAACTTCTTCTGGACTGTAAAAGTGTAAGTTTCCCATTTCAGTTTTTAATTTATTTGAACGCATCTGATTTCAGTGATCTAATTTGGAAAACCTTTAGCTTTTTAAGTCCAACATTTATATTTCAATTTGTAACGGCATACAAATTCCCCAAAGAGTGTGGTCTTTTCTGCTCAAAAAAATAACCGTTATCAGTCCAACTATTCCCACAACACTGACAAAATTCTTCGTATGACTATTGTCAGAATTATTGCGCCTAAAACACAATATATATGTTTAACCATTGTTTCGCCGTAGTCGCGTACTCAGTACGCATAGTATTAGGCGCAGTAGTAAAGGCAATAGTCAGCCGCTGAGTGTTGTCAGTGTTGTGGGAATTGGGCGTTAAATTGTATCCCTAATATGATTACATATTTGTAAATAATTCATTAGCGAATTACTATTCATTTTATTCGTTATTTGAAATGGTTTTTCAAAAAAGGAGCAACGTTTTACTTTTATTTATTTATTTTGTATTCGGAAAGGTGTTCTGAGAAATAATATTGTAGTCAGCGTAGCTGAAGGGCGGTTAATTCGAATAATTATCTAAATAAAAATGTATTCGAATAATGCCCAACTTTGTATGAAACCAAATGGAAAGTTGATTTAAATTAAATTTAAAAAAATTAATAAAAGCAAATGAAATTAAATTCAAATAAACCAAATAAAAATTAGATTAACGTTTTGTAAAGGAATCTCAGCGATTGTGAATTGGATTCGCGAAATCGGTGAACGAAAATATTTTGGGTTTTGTGTCGCACTTTCTACAAAATTTCATCCCACTGTCCGTGAACAACGAAAAAAATGTTGAAAAGAAAAAAATCCCTCTCATCGGATGATGTAGCATCGGATATCCGTACCGTAACTCTTCTTACAGTTTTTTTTTCAAAGCCTATGCGTTTGTTTTTGTTTGAGTATATTGGGTTTTGATAGCCGCATAACATTAGAATGGAGATAATTCATCATAGACCGAAGGAAATTAAACTTCGTTGCAGGCAATTCTTGACAATCAACTGAGTATTTTTACCCGAGGAAGACCATTCCTATAAATATGACCATTGTCACTACCGTTAGGACTACCGTTAGAACTACCCTAATCATCTTCACTAGAACTACCATTGGCTTCTACCTTTGCCGTTACCATTTCCATTTTATTAAATTACAATTACCAATGCCATTCACAGTTTTTTTTCTCTTGTTAAGTAAAAAATTGTCTATCGATAGCGATAACAAAATATTAATATATGCTCCAATTTTACCTTGAAAAGTTACACCAAATTTAAAAATAAAGAAATTTATCGTCACCTGAAATGCAAAATAACCAAAGAACGCTTCATTTCCAACGACTCCACTGCATCCCGGTTTTAATGTGAGGTATACCCGGTGCCTTTAAGCCACACAAGGCCACCTCATAGGCACGAGTGCCAAAGCTTTCAAAAGCTCTCTGTACAATTTATATAGGGCAGGTTCAAAATGAAAGCTTTCGCTGGCCAACTCTACTTTAAGCGATAAGTATTAAAAGCGGAAGGTAATCCCATACCAGCTTTGAGATGACCTCGTGCGCTTTAAGGGCGAGGAGCGCCGCTTTGCATGTAGATGTATTATTATATTTATAATTCAATCGCGTGTATCTCGGCCTGAAAGACGGAGCTACCTTGGCTCATGCTGGTGAAAAGGAACCGATGCTGTAGCCAGTCTTCGAGCCATCAGTATACCAGAAGTGGCAGTCCTTCCGGTGTTTAGGTCGTTCGTTGTGTTTGCGGGGGAAAAGGTTCTTGAAGGTTTGTTTAAAGTTATATCTGGAAGGCAGCGGTCCCTAAAGCTAATGCGCAGTCCGTTGTCTTTATCAATGACACTGAGGGTGGAAGGGCACCTCGAGAGCTGGGGTTAGTATTGATCTCATCGCACCAGTGATGCCAGTGATGTAGGCCAGTCTTTGCACTTGGCTGCATCCACCATGGCAGTTAAGGTCTGATGCCCCCGTTCCGCTTCCTTTAGTTTCCGGCAGGTCGCGATAGAGGCCCTGGGTTTTTGAATAGCGCTACCTTGAATCGGATTCCATGAGAATCTTTAGAGAAGTGTATCTTTTCTCCTTGAAGGAATGCTTTTAGTAATTTTTCCCCTTTTCTTTGTTTTTTTTGGAAATGGATATATGTATGCTGGCTAACCCATTATTACTGCACCATTTGGCGACTATGTTTAGAGCATTCTGTACGAGGTTGGAGATGGTGTCTGCGAACCTAACTCGGTTAAAAATGGCAATGTCGTTCTCGTAGCCCTGAACGTCCAAGCCATTTTCAATAAGAAGGCAGAGTAGTTCGTCTACTACGATGGACCCTGCGTGCAAACTCGGACTCTGTCACTGGGGCATACATACATACGCTAAATAATTCTAGGTCGACATCAATCCATTGCAAGAGTTGCACCTAACCGAAGTAGAGTTCGAGCAAGTCCTGGCATACGCAGCAAAAATAGTCGTCATTTGTCCAAGGACGTTATTTTCTATGCCTGATAACCGTGTTTATCGTACGAAAAAGAAGAAGAATGCATAGAAACTTTAAAGTTTTTATTTTTCGAATTTATTTTTAAAAACACACATATACAATACTTGTGCTTGCAATGTATAGCTGATTTCGGCAATCAAAATTACTAATTTTAACTATTCTTTCTAAATATTATTGTCATCAAGCGATTAATTAGTTATTAATTAAAGGATGTTGCAACTATCTCAAACGAATATGTATTACAATGACCAAAATTTGTAATCAAACAATGGTTGACTTCACACTTTTATTGCTGATCAATAAATTAGCGAAAGTCGAATCTTTCATATACATACATTAGATATACATACATAAAAACTCACTAAATACATACAATATGTGAGTGAGTAAAAATTTTGGCATAATCACAAAATATAAACTTATTTAATTTTTAGTCACAATAAATCAACATTTACAATATATTTCGCTTTGATTCGTTAATTGCTCGTGGAATATCTTCACTTGGTTTTTATTTATTTTTTTTCACATTTAAATTCTACAGCAAGAGAAACAGTAACTTAAAGTTAAAAATTAAAAGAATAAAATAATAACTTAAAATTTGAAATATTTTAACATTAAATATGGTTGGGATTGTTGGATATGTGCTTATTTATGTGGCTGTGTGTGTGTGTGTGTGTGTGTATACGAGTATGTATGTAGAACTGAGAGTGCGTGTGGCCTTATTTAAGTTGTATGTGTGTGCGCGCGGGTGTGTGGGTGTGTGTGTGTGTGTGTGTGATACATGATTTTAGATGTGCGTATGCAAATTGAAACAAACTGTAATTATATTTAACTTTCAACTATAACTACTAAAACTAAATACGATAATCAGCATTAAATTAATTTATAATTAACCTGAAGTGGGAGTAGACGACAGCACAAAAGGGGGGAAAACTTAAATTTTAATAATGTAGATGTGTTTGTGTTTTTTTGTTTGTTTTGTTTTTGTGCTTCTTACAAATTTAAGGATTTTCGGGTGGCTCATCTGGTGTTAGTAGACTTTGCGGTGCATTATCGAGATCGGCCAAAACGACCGACGGAAATTCTTCATGCACCGAATTCGAATTCGAATCTTCTTCGAGCACGTTCGGCGGCTGACGATTTCCCGGTAGGAATTCATCCAAATTTGGAATATATTCGACAGTGGCGTACTCAGTTGGTGGCGCCATTGATACTGTCTTCGGTATAGCTAATTCAGCAACCTCTTCGACAGCAACAGCCGATGATGGCACTAGCGCAACTGGAGGAGCCACAATTTTAGTTAACTCAGAAAGAACCTGCGGCGGTTGTAGTGGTTGCTCTTCTGTCTCCTTGAAAATATCGGCATCTGCTGTGGGCACCTTTTCGCCAACTGCTGCATCAATTTTGCCATCAAATGTTGTTTCCATTGTATTATTATTCAAATCAATCATATTCGGCGACTCTTTGGCTGTGTTCGGTGCGGAAGTTATGGTGGTTGTTGTCACTGCATATCCTTCAGCCATGTTTGGTTTACCCGCTACATGAATATGCTCAGCATCGCCTGTTTCATTAGTTTCCAAAATGGGCGCTGTTGGCTTCGTCGGTGCTTCCAAAGTTTCGTCCTTTTCATTGGTTATAGGTTCGGGTGTAGTAGTTGTTGTGGTGGTCGTCGTAGTGGAACTTGTGGTTGGAGTGATTGCTGATAATGGCGCAATTATGATTGGCTTTAAAATCGGTTTACCTAGCGGCGCAATCAAAGGTGGCAACACGTCATCTGCATTATTCAATGGCTGATTGAGTAGCGGTACTATGACGACGGGTTTCGCATTGGCCAGTACTTGTTGGCTCAATTGCGTGGGTATAATCAATGGATAGTTATTGACAAACAACATTGGCAAAACGGTGCAAACCTCTTGATCACTCTCGAAACACTGTGATTTGCCACGTATGCGCGTCTCTTGCTTCAGCATAATGGGGCATAGTTCGTTGAGGCGATTGTCACAGAGTATTGGATTGTCTGCAAGAATACATATGAGTATGGTTCGTTGAAAATTAAGAACTAGAGAAGAGTATGGAGCGTAACTCACCATCTAAATACAATTCCAATTTGCCAGGAACATTGTGATTCATGCACCTCGTTTGCGAAACTAATTCGGAAGAAATCGATGATATTTGGTTGCTCGTAAGATTGGCTTGACACAGTACGGGTAAGCCATGGAAATCCTTTTCCAATCTTGTAATATTATTGTAGGCTGCCTTTAAAATTTTCAGATTTGGAAGGAATGTCTGGAAAGTAATAGAAGTAATTGAGATTGTTTAAAAATAATAATTCTCTGTAGATAAATTAAAAATTTAAATTTATATTCCTATTTTTTATTTTTCTATATATACATAAGTGCTATACTACATATAATTTAAATAGAAAACCCAAATTACTTCCTAAAAATTGAATGAAATTAAAAAACTTCCTAATAAAATGAAATAAAGAAGTATATATTTTTCTCTTTAAGATAATAAAATCTAAAAATAAAACGAAATTTAGCTAAGAACGCTTAAGAAGAAAAAAATAAGTTTCTATAAATTAAAAGAAACTAAAAAAATTTCTTTTTAAAACAATAAAATTTAATAATTAAATAAGTCATGTAAAAAACGTTAAAAAAAAGAATAAGTTCCTAAAAATTTAATGAAATTCAAACAAAAATGCTTTTCTTTGTAAAACAATAAAATGTAAAAATTGAAAGAAAATTAAATTAAGAAAAAAAAATAAAATACAAGTTTCTAAAATTAATAAAAAAATATATATATGTAAAATTTAAAAGAAATTGCAATTGAAGAAAAAAGTCTGTATATTAAACCGACGGTGCTCTCCCTAAAATGAATGCGACCCAGGTTGATTGATTGCATGGATCAATTATAAACCCTTTTTCGAAGACTATGGTTTTGCAGCTTTGCGAAAGACTTAACAAATACCTCGACCGAATCATTTCTCTATTCTTTCGTGCACTACATACATATTATTGAAAATATAACTCACCCTCTCCATTTCCTTCAGTGTCAATAGTTGATTGTGCGACAAATCTAAAATTTCCAACTTCGCCAAACCGATAAAATCTTCCGGTAGAATGCGCTCCAGTTGATTGAAGGACAAACTCAATATACGTAAACTATTCAAGCCCATCAAAGCACCATCCAAGGTTTTCAGTTCGTTGTGATCCAAATTAAGCTCGAACAAGTATGAGTTCTGATCGATATTGTTCTCCTGATGACCGGTGAGACGTTTGATTTTATTATTATTCAACATTAAATGACGCAGCATCACCAAACCACGAATCTCGTTCATTGAGAATTCTTCGATTTCATTATATGAAATATTGGCACGATACAAACGACTCAGCGGCAAAAGGGAACTATTCAAAGACTTGATATGATTAACCGAAAAGTCGATATCCTCCAGCATTTCACATTCCAGAAAATCATCCTGACGCAGATACTCGATCTCATTGTTGAAGGCATGAAATTCATTCAAGTTCCTCGCATGCTTGAAAATAGCATCGAAGGTGCGTATGCAATTGTGTTGCACATGCAAATTCTCCAGCTTGTGCATGTAGCGCATGCTCTCCGGCAGGCGATCTAAGCGATTATTTTGTGCCATAATCAATTTCAAGCGATTCGATTCGGGTAGCTCATTATCCAAACTGCTGATTCTATTCATATTAATGAATAACGATTCCAATTTGTCCAGATGTCGAAGTGTGCCATTGAGATTTTCGATTTGATTGCGTCCCAAATGCAAGGTGAATAAACTGGTCGGAAATGCGCCCTTATCCAAACGTTTTATATTATTGCTGGGCAAGAAGAGATTCACAACCATTTGTATGCCTTTGAGATCATCCTGCAGCACGGAACGTATGCGACAACGTCCCATATCGAATGTTTTCACAATTGGCATATGATTCAACATGTGCTTTGGGATTTCTTCGAGTTCATTGTCGCCAACACTGAGATACTCCACATTTGATAACCCTCGAAAAGGTAATTCAGGCACCGATCTAAAAATAGGAAAGCAATAAAAAAAGACGAATAAGAAAAGGAATTCATTTAAAATAAGCATTCGTAAAGCAGAGAAAATGGTAATGGTGGTGTATATGTATGTATGTATGTATATGTACATACATACATAGCATGTACTATGTTTATAAATATGAATGGAAAGCTTCCGACGGCGACAGCGCGTCAACAAAGCCTATATCAGTAGAAACGTACATATATGTATGCATATACTTATGTTATCTTCAAAGAAATACACATGCTTGCTTACATATCTACAAAAATATTAAAAAAAAATTCCATATGTACATTAGGGCGGGTAAAATTTTTTTGACAATGCGCGTATAGCATAGGAGTATTCTACAGGTAAATCTAAACAAATTTAGCGAGGAAACCATTGGTCATTCTTTACGACACTACAGCAAAATGCTTCGCAATTTGGCAAACTCTAAAAAATCTCCCATACAAATTGATCCGCCCTAATGTACATATCTGTAGGCAATTAACATATATTGACACATATGTATGTAAGTACACTCGCAGTCGCGAAAAGCTTACTATTTTTTTCGAGCCACTTAAATTTTCAAAAATTTTGGTTCTTATAGTTTGTGATTCCATTTGAGGACGTACCTTAAGTAATATTACGAAAAAATCTGACCTCGATTCGAAATATCAATTTATTATTATATTGTCTCCAATTAAATTGCTTGGCCTGCTGATGTGCAAAAAGGTTTTATTTTTTGAAGGAGTTGCCACCTGCTAAATAATTTAAGTTAAATCAATTATTACAATATGGGTAACGAATGAGATGGTTTTACAAAGGCTTTACTTTTAACTGTATGTACGACTACAATAGGAAATATGTATCACAAGATGGGTGTCAGACGAAAGAAGTTTAAGAAGGTTTTGGTGTGAAAATATTTTGAAGCAGGTTGCCACCTGTTTGAAAAGCCGGATTTAATTAAACTATACATACGCTTTTTGAAATATTAAAATGTAGGTGTCAATCGAGAGGGCGTAAAGAAATCTCTTGTTTGAAGAGGGTTACCACCTGTTTCAAAATTTAAATTCAAATTATTTAATAAGTTAAACAAATCATTAAAGGATGGGTATGAATAAAAATGGGTTTAAAACGGCTTAATTTCTGAACTATATTTAGGAGGGTTGCCACGTCTTTGAAAAATCAATTCATTTTTAATTGAGGCAAAAAGGTTATTGAAATATGTATCACAATAAGAGTATCAGACGAAAGAGGTTAAAGACGGTTATACTTTGAAATTATTTAAAGGCGGGTTGCCACCTTTTGAAAAAATGGAATGTAATAAACTGAAACACATATTATATGAAATATTAAAATAGGGCTGTCAAACGAAAGAGCGTAAAGAAATCTTTAGTTTGAACATTTTTGAAGTGTTTTAAGCGTTTTAAGTTAAATGAAATATCATAATATGCTATAAATCGAAATGAGTTTGAAAATGCTTTGTTTCTAAGTTATATTTAAGAGGGTTGCCACGTGTTTAAAAAATCGAATCAACTTAGTTCACCAGTTAATTTAAATATGTATTACAATGTGAGACGAAAGATATTTAGGAAGACTTGTGTTTTTATAATAATTTTGAAGAGGGTTCCACCCGTTTGAAAAGTCAAATATATTAGAAAGTTTATGAAATATGAAAATAAGAGTAATAAAAAAGATTTGGTTTGAAAATATTTTAGACTAGGGTTGCCACCTACTCGAAAAGCACTATTGAATTTCAAAAATGAGATTTTAGATTTAAAGGCTTGTCGTTTAGATGTGCAATCAAGTTTTATTTTTTGATGTTAGAACACTTTTTAGTCGTATCGGATGATTTAAACTGTGATTAAATGAAAACCGACACCTCTCTTCACTCAGAAACGGCTTGGCGGATTTAGATAAAATTCGGCGCACAGATCGTTTTTGACTCTGACTAAAATTTGGAATATTTTTTAGGTTTTTGAAGAGGAATTAAGAAGTAAAATACATTTTATGCGGGCTTACTGGTATGTATTACATACTTGTGACAGCCAGTGTACATATTTATATGCCACCATGCTTCGGTTTCTTTGGAGTTATCAATTGCACAGCACCGAAACCGCCAACGCCACCGGCATCCAGAGCAACGTCAGCGCCTCCACTATCGCTTGAGCCGCAGGCCTAATGGAGGTTCACGGATTCTAGAGCGTTTGCCGTTGTTGTTGCTGCTGCTGCTGTGCGATTGCTTTCTTATCAAATTTGCATATTTAAATGTTTTTTTTTTCGAAAAATTTTCTTCGAAATCTAAGCTGCAAGTAATTTATTTTTGCGTTTTTGTTTATCTATAATTCATTGTTTTCGATTGAGATTGATAGCATTATGTGTATATTTCTTAAAATATATGTATAAATGCATACATGCATATATACATACATACATAGATATAAGTATGTATTATGCGCGACCAACTGTGAAATTGTATTTGACGCATTTACATACAAATAGACCAATATGCAGAAGGTCTTAAGTCTTGTTTGTTTCTTAATTAATTACATTTCAATTAACATTGTTTACCAAAAAAAATCACATGGACGCATATTTCTGTATGTATGTATTTTTTTTTTCTTTAGCTGATAATCAGAAGACAAATAGAAAAGGAAATTTTAATGACCAAATTGGCGCGTAAATAACGAAATGACCAAAATCAGGGGTAATTGCCTTCCGATTCGGGGACGATTGCATATACGTACATACATATGTATGTATGTACATTAGGGTGGTCCAAAAACAGTAAAGTTGGAATTGTAATGCTTTCACCCCCTAGGATTGTTCTAGATAGAAAAAAGTATACCCCTATTTTTTTTTATTTTGAAATCAAAAAATATTTAGAGGTCGCTCAAAGCGCTCAACGTTTTGCATGTATTTTTATATGGGAAAAATAAAATTTTTCGTAGAAATGGTATAGAATTCTTGAAAGTCAATACTTCTCGATCGGAAAACTCTGGTACTCTTCAGGAGACTTTCAATAATAATATCCAATTATTTATTTAATCATTTTTTAATACTAACGATTTTTTATTGGTCCGCCCATTGAATTTTTCGGGATTTTTGTAGGTTTTTGGCGGACCTATAAATTATAGTTGCGATGAAAAAAAGGTTAAAAAAATAATTGGGTATTATCATTGGGAATCTCCTGCAGATAAACAGAGTTTTCCGATAGAAAAATATTGATCTATAAGAATTCTATACCACTTATACGAAAAGTTGTTTTTTCCCCATATAAAAAACATGGCAAACTTTGGGCGCTTTGAGCGACCTCCAAATATTTTTTGATTTCAAAATGAAAAATAGCGATGTATTTTTTTCGGTATAGAACAATCCTAGGCGGTGAGAGCATAAAAATTCCGACTTTACTTTTTCGCATGCNTACATACATACATAGATATAAGTATGTATTATGCGCGACCAACTGTGAAATTGTATTTGACGCATTTACATACAAATAGACCAATATGCAGAAGGTCTTAAGTCTTGTTTGTTTCTTAATTAATTACATTTCAATTAACATTGTTTACCAAAAAAAATCACATGGACGCATATTTCTGTATGTATGTATTTTTTTTTTCTTTAGCTGATAATCAGAAGACAAATAGAAAAGGAAATTTTAATGACCAAATTGGCGCGTAAATAACGAAATGACCAAAATCAGGGGTAATTGCCTTCCGATTCGGGGACGATTGCATATACGTACATACATATGTATGTATGTACATTAGGGTGGTCCAAAAACAGTAAAGTTGGAATTGTAATGCTTTCACCCCCTAGGATTGTTCTAGATAGAAAAAAGTATACCCCTATTTTTTTTTATTTTGAAATCAAAAAATATTTAGAGGTCGCTCAAAGCGCTCAACGTTTTGCATGTATTTTTATATGGGAAAAATAAAATTTTTCGTAGAAATGGTATAGAATTCTTGAAAGTCAATACTTCTCGATCGGAAAACTCTGGTACTCTTCAGGAGACTTTCAATAATAATATCCAATTATTTATTTAATCATTTTTTAATACTAACGATTTTTTATTGGTCCGCCCATTGAATTTTTCGGGATTTTTGTAGGTTTTTGGCGGACCTATAAATTATAGTTGCGATGAAAAAAAGGTTAAAAAAATAATTGGGTATTATCNCATTTTTTAATACTAACGATTTTTTATTGGTCCGCCCATTGAATTTTTCGGGATTTTTGTAGGTTTTTGGCGGACCTATAAATTATAGTTGCGATGAAAAAAAGGTTAAAAAAATAATTGGGTATTATCATTGGGAATCTCCTGCAGATAAACAGAGTTTTCCGATAGAAAAATATTGATCTATAAGAATTCTATACCACTTATACGAAAAGTTGTTTTTTCCCCATATAAAAAACATGGCAAACTTTGGGCGCTTTGAGCGACCTCCAAATATTTTTTGATTTCAAAATGAAAAATAGCGATGTATTTTTTTCGGTATAGAACAATCCTAGGCGGTGAGAGCATAAAAATTCCGACTTTACTTTTTCGCATGCATTTTTGGACCACCCTAATGTACATACATACTACATACTCAATATGTACGTACATGAACTTTACCTACTACTGTATACTTATGTTAATTGCATTACTTTTACCAATACTTAGCTACAGTATTGCGTCATGAAATTGGAAACATGTTAAAACAAACTTTGCACTAAAATCAATAAACAAAATAAAATAAGTCAATGCGTTTGTTAAGGTTACTAAAAGCAAAATTTCATTTTCACCTATTAGCTTTTAGAAACCTTAACAAAATCCTCGAAAAGGGTCATCATCCACTTCTAGTTATTGTTTGGTAGGATGTCTCTTACGATGCGGTCACTGACTTGCATTTCTGCAAAACAAGCGGACAGAATCGGTAGAAGTTTAACAAGAAACCGTTTTGGAAGTTGTTGTCAAGCCGCTTAACCAATCTGTGTTCCAAAACTTTCCAGCATGACCCA